TTTGATTGGTTAATTATCACGGGCAATCACGGGTAGATCGACAAAATTAACCAATCATATGAATGTCTTCCTATGAAAGTACCTCTCGATCGTGTGCGACATACTCTAATCTAAATTGTCATATAGATCATCGATTTTCTGCAGATTGCTGTCTATCGATGTCATTTAGTTTACTAATTACAAGTCACTTTGTCAAAAGTCGTTGGTTTTCTTATAGAATTTTGCCTTTTTACCTAAAGTAAGTAATAAGCAATATTAATTATCTGCGACATTAAATCATCAATAGCCTATTTTTTCTAATACATAAAAGTTTTAACAATACCTCATCGTTCGTTCATTGTTGATTTTTTACTTTTCAGCCTTCCCTTTTTTAGAATTTCTTTTCTACAGTACAAAAAAGAAACCGTTCATTTAATTTCAAAAACTTTGTTTATTATAACGTATGCTTTAGATCCCAAATTTCTCATTTACCTTCAGCTTCTTCTAACTTTGCGACAATGGCTTCTTTTGCAAACCTTCCTCCAAATTTTGTGCTTTCTCCTGATCGCTCACATGCTGTTTTAGCAATTCCTATTGAAAAGTCTAATAATGATAATAGAGATTATCGATTAATTCGTTTAAATAATGAATTGGAAGCTTTACTGGTTCATGATCCAACTACCGATAAAAGCAGTGCTTCAATGGATGTTCACGTAGGAAATCTATCGGATCCGGTATAAATTTTTCTTCGAATTATTAAGTTATATGCTTGATTTTGTAATTTTAAATTTATATTAATTATGTTTCAATTTTTAGAACGATTTACAAGGTCTCGCTCATTTTTGTGAACATTTATTATTCATGGTAGTATATACAACATTACAAAAACTTGTTTCTTTTCTTATTTCTTAATATTAATATGTTTTCAATATTTCAATATAGGGTACTGAAAAGGTATAAAACATTCTTAATCAATCCCATTCGAGTCTATAAAGTATAATGCTTATATTTATTCCGATACTTGATTTTAGTATCCAAAAGAAAATGAATACAATAGTGTAATATTCTAATTTTCTTAAATACTGCAATATTTTAAAATTTTATGTTATTACGTATGTTCATTAAACCTTACCCATTTTTTTTTTTTTTTAGTTTCTATCAAAACATGGTGGTCATTCTAATGCCTATACAGGATTAGATAATACAAATTATTATTTTGAAGTTGGTTATGAGTTTTTGGAGGGTGCACTTGATAGGTGATTCTTTGTTTTTCGTGATTACAATTTTGTAATTTATAATTTACTACTGTACTATTTCTTGCGATTTTATATAATTTATAACTTATTGTATTTTATTAACGCATCCTCTATATTACACATTGTTTTAGATTCTCGCAGTTCTTCATTTCGCCACTTTTCGATCCAAGCTGCACTGATAGGGAGATTCTCGCTGTTGATTCGGGTCAGCTATATAGTCATATAAATATTACATTTGTTTGTTACTGTATAATGGGTATTAACTTTAGTGAGATTTCATTATTTACAGAACACAAAAAAAATCGTCGATCTGATTCATGGCGTTTGTTCCAACTGGAAAGATCTTTGTCTAATCCAAACCATCCTTATTCTCGTTTTGGTTCCGGAAACTTGTACTCTTTAAAAGATGTTCCGCATCAAAAAGGTTTGGATATAAGGAATGAATTGTTAAAATTTCATGAAAGGTATTATTCTGCCAATTTGATGAAATTGGTCGTTTTGGGTAGAGGTAATTAATTATTTTTATACCAGTTTTCTTTTAAAAATTTTAAATTCATTTCTCATATATTTATGATTTTAGATCCTTTGGATTTGATGGCTTCGTGGGTTGTCGATAAATTTTCTGATGTTAAAAATAAAGGTATTCCAGTTCCTAAATTTGATGGTCTTCCATTGACTAAGAATGAATTACTGGTATATTAAATTTTTATATTAGTTTTTTTATAATTTTGATATATATATATATATGTATATATATAATTTCTAATTATATATTTCGTTTCGTTTCTTTTATAAACTAGAGACAAGTCTCTGTGAAGCCGGTTAAAGATATACGTTCTTTAGAAATAACATTCCCTTTCGTAGAACAGGCGCCTTTATATATCTCAAAAGTACGAATCTTTATATACATTTTATATATATATTTTTTTACCTGAAAAAATATTAATTGTAATCATTAACAGCCAGGGAGGTATTTAACGCATTTAATTGCACATGAAGGGTATGGTTCTATTTTATCTCTTCTCAAAAAGAAAGGTAAGATGATTAATTCAATTTAATTAATCCAATTAATTTAATTGAATTTAAGTGAAATTCATATTTGGCATAATTATTATTATCTTAGGCTGGGCAAATTATCTAGAAGCTGGGTCCGTTCCTGGAGCTGTTGGATTTGAATTTTTTAAAGTGTCAGTAGACCTAACAGAATCTGGACTAGATCACTATAAGGAAGTAGTAAAAATCGTATTTCAATATATTAAAATGTTGAAGCAAATTGATATTCAAGAGTGGTGCTTTCGAGAAGTATATATTCCTCTTTTGCTATTTTTTGCTATTAATTGTTATATTGCGATATTACGAGATATTTATTACGGTATTTTGTTAAAGGTTCAATCTCTAGCAGAAATTTCATTTCGTTTCAAAGAAAAATCAGCTCCAGCAAGCTATGCTTCGAATCTTTCAAATCTTATGCAAAGACCATATTGTATGCCAGCGCCTTTTTTTATTTTGAATTCATCTTGTAACTATCCTACTTATTGATTTTTTTTTTTACTTTAAATAATAGCACGCGACTGTATTATAAGTGGGTCGCATCTTATTCGAGAATATGATCCTCATCTTATAGCTGAAGGATTAAAATATTTAGAATGTGATAATTTTGTTCTCACTTTGGTTAGCCCGTCATTTACTGGTTTAGATCGAAAAGAAATGTGGTATGGAACAGAATATAAAGTTGAACCTTTTGACAAGGAATTTATTAAGGTATCGATAAGACTATTATCATTTGTATTGTTGTCAAATGACCTGATATAAACTTTCTTTGCACATTTTATATGTATAATAGGAATTACAAAATCAAGTAATTGACCCCGAGTTAAGAATTCCGCCTCCTAATGAATTTATTCCTACAAATTTTGAAACGAATAAACATGAAGTTGTTACGGTATAACCTAAATTTCTTTGCGATATGTGTTAAGTTTAAATTTCATATTATGTTAATATAATGGTTACTTTATTTTAGCCACAAACGTGTCCAAGCATTATTAAAAGCACCTTACTTTCTCGATTGTGGCATAAAAAAGATGATACATTTTGGGTACCAAAAGTTAACGTACGTTTCTTACTTAAGAGGTATTAATAAGTGTTTTTCATTTCATTATTTTTTATATGTGCATTAAAGTTTTTTCATTTTCACTATTTTAAAATATTAATATATTCATAAATAATTAGTCCTTTAACATACGCACCGTCACCATCACACTGCATAAAAGCAAGGTGAGTTAATAATCAGTTAATTTCCTATTGCAGTATTAGATAATGTTATCAAAATGATCAAATTGTTAATACATTTTATTACTAAAAGGCTCTACACTGAATTGGTAAAAGATAACTTGACTGAATATTCTTATAACGCTGAACTTGCTGGCTTAAGATACGACATTGAAACACAACGTGAAGGAATACTTTTGTCAATAAGGGGATATAATGATAAGATTCACGTGCTTTTAAAAGATATTGTGCATGCAATGAGGTCAAAATTTACTATTTATCCAGGCAGATTTGAAAAAGTTAAAGAACGACTCCAAAGAGCGTACAAAAATACTTTTCTTGATCCTCCTCATAATCATGCAACTTATTATCTTTCATGTTTAACGCAAGACCAAATGTGGACGAATAAAGAAAAATTGGATGCATTAGAAGATATAACTGAACATGATATAAATTCATTTTATCCAGAATTATTTAGTCATTTAAATATTGAATCATTAGTTCATGGAAATATGTTTAAGGATGAAGCTTTAAAACTATTACAAATAGTTGAAGATGGTTTAAAATCTAAACCTCTTTTACCAGCAGAGTTAATCGGTTGTAGGAATGTAATATTACCAGAGGGAAAAAAATATTTATATCAACATGAAGTTTTAGATCCAAATAACGTTAATTCTGCAATAGAATATTATGTTCAACTAGGAAATGTAGTGAATAAAAGGTTAAGAGCAAAATCAAGTTTATTGGCACAAATTATGCATGAACCATGTTTCAATCAACTTCGAACTAAAGAACAATTAGGTAATAATAAGTTTTCATTATTTTGTATTAAACTTGCTACAGTATTTAATAACGATGTTTATATATTTATATCCTAAATTTTTATTTTTTTATTTTTTTATTACTAGGGTATATTGTTTTTAGTGGAATACGTAGAATGGCTAGCTCATTGGGTGTAAGGGTTATCATACAAAGTGAAAAGGATACTGTTTATCTTGAAAATAAAATTGAAGATTTTCTAAACATATTACAAGTAAATTTAAATAATAATTTATCTTTTTTTTTTTTTAATGTTATTGTCCAGTAATTTAAATATAATTTTTTTGATTAAATAGATTTTGATTGAAGAAATGCCGGAAGAAGAATATCAAAAGCAAGTTCAATCTCTTATCACAAAAAAATTAGAAAAACCAAAGAACCTTTATCAAGAAGCTCAGCGATATTGGAATCATATTGATTCTGGATATTATGACTTTGATCAAGGTACTATATTCTATTGTATTTCTAAACCCTTATAATATATATACGATATATTCTAATACACTACATGTGGTGCTTTTGTAATAGTCGAGACTGACGTCGCAGAATTACGTACAATCACAAAATCAGAACTACTTGACTTTTATAAACTATTAGTTCATCCATCTTCATCAATACAAAAAAAATTATCGGTTCATCTTCAATCACAAAAACACCTCAAAAAATCAAGACCAATAAATGTTAATCATCTTTATTCATGTTTATCCACTAAAGGTTTAACCACAGTAACAATTGAGAATTTACAAACGTTCTTATCCTCAAAAGAAATAGTAGATGGTCAAGAATTAGAAACACTATTAAAACAATTTTTAATTGATCAAAGCAAGGCTCAAGAAAGAGAAATTGAAGAGTTAATTAAAAGTGTTGGAGAAACTTATTTAACCGAAAGTTCTACTGTAGATAATGAAGAAAAAGTCGAATATGGTGATGCTATAGATGTGAAATTACGAGATCTGAGACCAGGGAATGAAAAAATTGAAGATATTTATATTTGGAAAAGTAATATGCAATTGGGTCCTGCTCCAACACCGGTTATAACATTAAATGACTTAATGAGTAAGTTATAATACGAAATGACATCATTTTGCACGTACGGCCAGATGTAATGTTGATTCTTACCCTTCTGAGAAATTATGATCTTTAAGAAGTATATATTAAATAAAGAATAAAATGGGTTTTGGTAGGGTTTATATTTTAAATTGAGGTCCCTAATTTTCAGCTTCAGCTTCAGCCGCGACAATTAATAATATCGCTTCGCTTAAAATTTGCATTTATTGTTTATAATAGTGATTTTTTTTTATTCACATTCATAGTGAATATTTACATATAGACTTTTAAATGTACGTGCATAGAAGTATATAAGATTACTTTAAGATGTCATTTTAATACAATCCTAGAAAAGAAATATTTTGTTTTCTTTTTTTTTAATAAAAAAAAAATATCATTCACCGGATCTGGTAAAAGTTTAACTCGAAATAATTTTAATATTATTTGTTATACTATTTAATTCAGCGCGTTATTTCGAAATATCGAACTTGATATTTCCAGAATAACGCCCACGTGCATCTAGCATAGTGTGCGATTGAACATACCAAGATAATTTTGTATCAACAGGATAATGACTGATCTATGCAACGAGTTAATCATGAAGAATCTTCAATTGGCTTTAATATTCTAAGAGAGTACTGCATGTGATAACTTGACGATGATCATTTAGCCGTGAATGATCCTCATGATTGACTTTGACGTAGAGTTCCAATCCGTCATATATCTAATTATCCAGGTAGAACCCGGGTGGGTCCACCCACCGTCGAGTGACCCGGCTAACATCTGCTTGTCAAGATCTCTTAGTTGAGAAGAACAGTCTTTTTCATAAATTTCTAAACACACCAAAGGTAATCTTACTAGATTTAGAATCAACGTAAGTTGATTATAAATACACTCGAAACGAAATTTTAACTTCACTCAAAATTGTTACAAATTTTCGAACTATCCATTTAGCGCATTTTCAATTTAAAATTAAAGCTGTTGGATTTCGCAATAAATCTCAAAGCTATATATTCTAGCCACAATTTCCAGCTATACTAATTATTACATTGCTTACATAAATATTATACGTATTGTCCATTCGACGTACGTACGTACAGCATATATACCTTATATATCGATCGTACCGAAATCAAAAACTTAACCGAATCAGCCAAGGAAATCACTCTACTAATTTTCTCCAGTGTTCCAGAATTTATAAAAATAGACGCAATAACATTTACTTTTGACCGGATTAGATACTTACTATAGATTAACTCGTGGTGACTAGCGGATAACCCATGGGTCGCTTCCACCAAAACTCTCGGATAAATTCAGATCCGGATATCTGGTAACAGATAAGGGAACTAACACTTATTACGTAAATATAGCTTTCCCCTTGCATTACATTAGAATTTGTAATGAGGGAGGCTATATTTACGTAATAAACGAATTATTCGGATATACTACTTTGACGCGTAAGTTATTTCGCGCCTATACTGTTTACACAGGGAATATATACTGTATATATTTTTATATATTTTAACAAATACATTTTTGGTTCATTTATTTGATTTTAATCATAAATATATATATATATATATAATGCTAATATTTATCAGGCTTTTTACCGTTCTTCAACATTTGCTTTTCTAATTCGGCGAATAATTCAGGATAATGGCGCTTGCCTACGTCTGGATGTGAACTTGAAAAAAAAAAAATTAAATGAAATCAGTTCTAATTATGTATATTCAGTAATAACATAAAAATTTCTAGATATTTACCTAAGACGATTCATAAGTTGTGCATTACCAATATTTTTATAGAAGCGTTCCTCATAATCTGTATCAGCTAGAAATGAAAATACAGTAATAAAATGTATTAGCTAAATATACAATATATTTAGGAAATTGATAATTCCACACTCTTTTTTGATAATGCCACACCCCGCCGTTCATGCCAATTTTTTTAAAAACTTTAATTGAAGATATCTCGACTACATCTAATTAAATTCGTTGAACTTTTTTTATTTTAATTATAACAATTTAGAGAAGAGTTCATCGAATTTGATCAGGTGGATGTCGAGATATCTTCGATCAAAGTTCACAACAATCTGCAACGCGGCTTCTACTTGATATCTCGACATGCACCTGACTAAATTCGATGGGCTTTTTTTTTTTATTTATTTGTGGAATTCTATAGAATTCAAAGAAAAAAAAGATAATTGAATTTAGTCAGGTGGATGTCGAGATATCTTCGATCAAAGTTTCACAACAATTTGCAACGTAGCTAGATGTTAAAATTTACAAAATCTTTTGGTCGAGGATATCTCGACAACCACCTGGCCAAATTTGATGATCTTTTTTATATTTTAATTGTAGAAATCTGTAGAATTCAAAGAAAAAAAGTTTATCGAATTTAATCAGGTGGATGTCGAGATATCTTCGATCAAAGTCACAACACGGTTCACGTTAAATTTACAATACTTCGATTGAAGATATCTCGACAACCACCTGACGTTTGTTTTTTTTTTAATTATAAAAATTTATAGAACTCAAAAAATAAAAGTTTGTCAAATTTGATCAGGTAAATGTCGAGATATCTTCGTTCAAAGTTTAAAAAAATTGTAAAAATTAGAATGATCAGCGGGGGTGTGGCATTATCAAAAAAAGGGTGTGGAAATATCAGTTTTCTATATTTATTTATTTATTTATTTGATTATTAACATACCATCAGATACAACAGATCTTGGTGCCTGACGAATTATATCTTCCGGAACATCTAATGGTTCAAGCATTGCATCATAAGATATCGTTTGAAAGAAAGGTATGCTTTTCATTTTAAAAAAAAAAAATTTTATATGCAAATAAAAAATATATCTATTATTATGTGTGCAATTAAAAAAAATGTTTAATAAATAAAACAATATAAAATATATAAAACCTTATTCTTGGGATTGAACCAGGAGGTGGAGTGAGAACTCTATGAGTTGTGGCCACAGCTACTCCTCTAGTAACAGCCTCAATTCCTATCCCAATATTTACAACAAATGTTCCGTCAAGTGGTGGAACATCTATCCAAACTCCTTTATGGTTTTGAACTTGTAAACCCTGTACATTATTAACTTGAAGAAGGAATGTTATCCAAGGATCTTTATGAGGTCCAACGCCTTGTGCACTATAATCTGAACCTAAAGCTAATTCATTTAATGGGGGATATTTAACAACCTGAGATATATAATTGTCATTATTAGTTTATACAATTCAAATTTCAAAATTACTGGAGTTAAATATTCATTCACCTTTAAACGATTCATATGTTCATCAGGTGGATCCAAAAATTTATATAAAGAATCAGGAGGGAGACCTAAACTCAATGCTATTAATTGCGTAAATTCTAAAGAAAAATCAGACAGTCTTTTAATATATTCCAACAAGGTTTCTTTAAAACCGGGAACATATTTCTCATCAGGCCATTGATTAGGCCCTTTAAGTCTTCTATATATAGGCTCCCCTTCTTTCCAAGTATAAGGAGTCTCTGTCGCAAAATCATATTGTTCACGTTGATCATCTATATCTTTAGTTTTTTCTGCGGCCAGTTTGTTATATCCAAGAAAATGTGGCGAATTACACATTTCAATTCGTAATTTTTCAGAAGTTGGAAGATTAAAAAGTTGAGTGGAATATGATTTAATTTTGGTTATAAGTTCCTATTCGAATAAATAAAAACGTTTTTAATGATTATTTTAAACCGGTTAAAAAGTTACTCTGTCATAAGTACCTCTGGAATTGGATGATTTTTGACATATAGAAAACCAATATGGAAGAGTGTATAACGAAGTTGAGACAAGAATTCATCTTTTTTGAGACTATGAACGAGACTATAATCCAATATTGGTAAAGAAGTAAAGTCTACTTGGTTATTTGTCATTTTTGGTTTGTTTTTTTTCTTGCTTTTCGTTAAAAGTAGTTTTTATAGCAGAATTGCAATCATTAAAATAAAAAAAGTTATAGATCGTTATTTTCACATTTTCATCATATATTAATAATATTGTGTCATTTTTAAAACTAGTTTGCATTGGATAACTTAACTTTATATGTACACCGTGAGAAATTACGCACGTCAAACTTTACAAATCAGCTTTGTATTATGCAATAAATAAAAAAGTTTACATTATATTCCAAAGACCTAATTTCGGGATAACGTTAACTCAGTCGGGAGATGAGTGTCACTTGTGCAATAATGTTATCGCTATCATTGTGGATAATAATCGCTGATTTAAAATTCTTTGCATTATTGTTTTTTAAACCATTCATGAATTACATCTAATAGCAGCAATATTTAATTTTTAATAAATATAATACTCAACAGCTTTTTTAACAACCAGTTAAAGCTTACATATAAAACTTGAATTTATCATGCAAAGAATCTAAATTATATGTAATAGATATTTTTACGTTTTCATAAAGATATCATCACAGGCGAACATGAGGATACAGATTTTCTTTCTCCATATAGTTATACATATACTGAAATACAAAAATAAAAAATTTTACCCCTGATTTTCTGTAAAGTGACACGGGAACAAGAACTATGATAAATACCAACTTTATTGGGAAGTGTTAGAGCAATTCAGTGCTCAAATTCTTTAACTACTAGCTCCCATAAGAGGTTGGATCAGAAAAATATTGGAATCATCTCGGTACCAAAATCACCACTACATCACGAGTTATTGCTGATCAAAGTTTTAAATTAGTAAAAAAAACAGTAACGGTAAAACAAAAAGTGTTCAAGAATTAATGCCCGTACCATAACAAGAGATGTTCTGTATGCATTATGCAAGCGGTGTCATAATGCTGCATAATGCGATGCAAGTTGCTTAAAATTTAAAAATGTACATAACTTCTAGATTGATGAAAAAGCTGACCGACAATGGCGTAGAATTATTGTATCAACAAAATATGCCAGCATTAGAAGTCCTATAGAGATGTATCTTTTAAGATTAAATGAAAGTTATCGTAATTTTGATCCATATCATAAC